TTATAATTATACTGTCTATATAAAGCTTAATTACTAAAGCGTAGTTATTTTTTTTTTCTAGGTTAGAAATATTATGTCTTATATAAGATTCTTACATAGTTTTCTATAGCCTCTCTTAGCTAGTTGTAGTTCTAGTTTGTACAATAAATCTAATACTACTTAAGAGGCTGTTTTATGTAGTTTATTAATTAGAGTTAGTTGCTTATATAGACAACCTTTTTTTTATGCTTATAAAAGATCCCTTTGTACTAGAGCTAGTTTGTCTAGATCTAGCAGTTCTTATGCAGGTTTATCTTTATCTTTTATACAATAATATAGTATAACTTGTGTGCAGTAGAGTCTTACTAGACTATTCTCTATCTTAATAATAATGTCTAGGGCCTTAATTCCCTTTACTATGTGCAGTTTTATCTATCCCTTTTTCTTTTACTATGTTTTTACCTTAAAACTAAGTAAGAGATTTAGGACTTTATATAATATTAAGCTATTTTAGGTGTTAATTATATTATTAATATTAACTTTTACCCTTTTACTTTAAAGCATCTTTATTGCCTTTTATACAGCGTTAGCCTGCATAGCAATGTTAGAGGATAGTGCAGAATCTATGTTAATTCTTAGGTATGTTCTAAATATAAGTAATGTAGGTATAAAACTATTTAGTTTTACTATATTATTTAGGGCTTTAACAGCTATCTATAACACTAATTTATTATTTGTATAATTATCTAATTCTGCATAGAGGATGTTATATGCATGTTGCAGTAGTGCGTGCGCGCGCTTAATCTTCCCTATAGCCTAATAGGCTTTTACTAGCATTTGTTAACATGTTGCTCCTATAATCTTTACATAATTCTAGAAATCTTTAGATGCAAAGTTTATACTAGAGTTATGTATAATATAATTAAGTAGGCCTTAATATGTGTTAATCTAACACTTGCAGAGCGCGTTCTAGGTATCTTGTGCAGACATTAATTTTAAGAAGGTTGCTGCTTAGAATAATATATCTATGTTAATTACATATAGTACATCTTAGTTACTAATTTATATAATGTTAATTACTATTTTATAATTAAAGTATAAATTATCTTTAATTATAAACTTAAATTTTTATAGTGCTAAGTTATGTAGCTAACATATATAGTAAAACTTCTTAATTTTTTTAAGTATAAAAGAATTAGCGTTGTGTCTAGTGTTTTTAAGCATTATGTAAAGCTGTTTTATATAGGGATAGCTAAACCTTTTATGTAGTTATTAGAGTTTATGTTTTATAAAAAAAGACATTAATTTCTTCTTTTATATATTAAAAAATAAGTAACTTTATTTATGTATAACTAAAACTTTAATTTTATTACTTTATATAATTACATTTTATATGTTGTTAAAGTACGCATTTATCTAGTCTATGTTAGCAAGAGATAGTACGAAGAGTGTTAGTGTATCTAGTATGTAATATATAACACTACTAACTAAATTAGTAATTTTATAGTACTAATTAATTCTATTAATTCTTGTTTTTTAAAGCTAATACTCTTTTTATTTAGTGTCTAGTCTACTTTTATATAAAAAAATTTTTATAGGTATACTTTAAGTTATAACTTTCTTATAGTAGAAATTCTTATAGCGCTAGTATCCTATAGTTTACCTTAGTATACTATATAATATTAATCTTTAAGAATAAACTGTTCTGCGTATCCTTTAGGTTCTAGGCTGTATATGTCCTCTGCTGTCGCACAGTAGAGAAATGCAGTAGAGGTAAGGTAGTTAATAATCTTTTTACTTTTTTTTTTATCTAAGTTGTTGTTATATAACTTCTTTTCCTTTTACTTTAGTTTACCTTTAAATTTCTAAATATACATGCTTACCTCTTTACATGTTAGTGTCTTATTATAGAATTCTTTATATAAGAAGATGTACTAGTGTTTTATATAAAACTAATTTATAAAAAGATAATTTATTAACTAATATTTTTTCTTATAGTAAATAAAGTATTGCTTTAATTATATAAAGAAGTGTAATTTAAATCCCTTTAGACTTTTTCTACATTATTAAAAACTACATATATAAGATAAGTTATATCTTTTATTAGTGTAGTACATGTTTTTTAATTTATTTAGGAACGTGTTATTCTACTAATTAATTATAACCTAAAGTGCTAAACAGAGGTTACTATATAGTGCCTTATATATAAGCTTAATTAAAAACATAGCTTATTTAAGCTTAAGTTATCTTTAGCATATTTATATAATAGTAGTGTAAAGCAGTATCTTACCTTAGAATTATAGACTAAGAGCTTTTTATATAAAAGTAAGTTTATTAATTATAGCTTTAAAAGCTTTATATAAAGTTTTTATAAAGTTTTTTTACTTAATTTATATAAAGCTTATTATTATTTAATCTATTTAATACTAGTTATAATTTATGTTAGTATTAAAGTAATTACTAAGCTGTTTATATAAGACCCTCTACATCTTCCTAAGGCTAATATTATAAAGGTAGAACATGTGTGCATAGCCTTTAAGAATATTAGGGAAGATGCTTGTGTATAAGGCCTTATAAATAGTAAGGTGTTAGTAGAGCTTAATAAATACTATAGCCTTATTAGCTAAAATATTATATAGTTGCCTTATATAGTTATTCTTCTTTCTTTATGCTTTCTAGAATTATATAACCTTCTTAGGCGTAAGGTTCTTTGCTATAATATCTTATGTAAGTAAAAGTTAGTATAGATTGTATAGTAATTAAATTATATGTAGTAGGTACAAGCTTTAGGGAATCTTATGCAGAGCTGTAGCTACAGGAATATGTAGCTGCCTAGTTGTGCTCTTGTACAGTAAGCTATTACAAGGTAGTTATACTAATTATAAAGAAAGTATTAGGTCTGCAGGTAATTTATATAGAGATATCCTCTATAGCGTTAGAACTAGCGCTAGTAGTAATAGTTTAGTACAGTAGTCTAATAAAATAGTAAAAGCATGTTCTTTCTTTATAAGTCTATATAGTGTAATAGCTTTTATTTTGTCCTTTTTAAAGCTAATGCCTTTATTCTATAAAGTAGTAATAAGTTTTTATAAAAATAATTAGCTAAAATTTTTAAAGTGTATAAGCTTTTACTTTATAAAGTTATTTTAGAAGTTTTTAAAAGTTTATACATCTATTATGCTTAACACGCAGAGTTCTATAATTAAGTTAGCTGTGTATAAATTAAGCTTATTCTTAGGTGTGTTATTTAATAGTTTAATTTTATCTACTTAATTTTTAATATTTATCTACTTTGCTAGAGTCTTTGCTAAGATGCCTACAAAAAGTATATATTAGTTATACGTTAATACATTATGCTAGCTAGTTATAGATAGAGCTGGCGTTGCTTATTGCTCTATAGTAGTTAGTTATGCGTTGTCGCGCGCTGTCTTACTTCTTGTTATACGCTGCCTCTAAACAGCCTTGTGCAAAAAGATAAAACAGACCTCCTAGCGTTAAACAAGCACTACTATTTATACAGTACCTTTAAATAGTATTATATAGACAGGTTTTCTGCTCTTAGTTAAGTAACTAAATAAAGATTTATAGCTACTTATATATAAATTAGACTCTATCTTTACTCTTACTAATTTATAGTTAAATTAGTAAGGAAAAGAATTTCTTTTATATATAATCTTTTAAATAGAAAGGTATAAGAAGAGCTTTCTATCTTATAGTATTTAAACTACTAATTAGTGTTAAATAGACTCTATGCTAGCTATGCAAGGCAAAGAGGTTTGCACAGTGGACACATCGCGCGGGGGGGGGGGTTTGCAGGTAACTGGTGTTGATTCTTCTTGTTCTAAGTCTGTGCGAAGGAAAGGGTATTTATCTGTCTGTGCGTACAACTGTGACACAAGACTATGTCACGTGACGCCTAACCGCGTATCCAAATACTGCCATTTGGACAAAAAGTAAAATTAACATATAAATAAGTAAGTAACTTTATAAAAGTAAAAAGTTGCTAGTGTTTATACATAAGTATAGCTATGTCTGTACACATGTATAGCTAAATTAGGTTACCTAAAACATTAGCTATCTAGCCTATGTGTTAAGGGCTATGTGTACTTAAGAACTTTTTTTATTGTATAAAAAGAAAGAGTAGTAGTTAATAACAAGAAGATCTTTGCCTACTTACCTCTTAGTACGCCTCTTAGGCGTACGTTTGTTTAATTGAACCTAGGTTAACTAACACTTTATCTCTTTTTAAAGTGTAACTTTATGCCTAAATTTAAGCTCTTTTTTAAAGTTTAAAAGTTATGTAATTTTATATTACTTTAAATTTAATCTAAAAAGTTAAATAAATTTTACTAAGCTAAATTTTTTATTACACTTACACTTTACTTTATGCTTTTAGTATGTATTCTAAAGAAATTTTTAATAGAAACTTTTAGGCTTTTCTAGAGGTTTCTAGAGTGTTCTAGGGCTCCTTTAGGCTAGAGGACTCTATACTACCCTCTATCTGTTCTAGAGAGTCTTTATTTTAACTACTTTTAAACTTTTCTTTAGCTAGCTACTTTTACTAGCTATTTTTTATTTAATTTTTAAGCTTTTTTATTTTTTATTATTTTAATCTAGGCTTTTTTAAGCCTCTTAAGCTTTATTTTATACTTTTTACTACTAATAATATATTTCTTAGCTAGTAAGTAGTTAGATAGAATTACTTTAGCTATAAATAAAGCTTTAGTTATTATTAATCTTTGCCTAACTTACCTTAATAAGATTATAAGCAGGATTATAGTGTATAAGCTGTAACAATTCTCACAAATTGTTCTATCTCAGGTCGCTCAGATCCTATCTGAAGGGTCCCTGTATCGGCCCCAACTATAACTCAACCCTGTCCCCTGCAGTTACCCCTATTTACCTAAGTATTTAGTCGCACCTTTTCTCTTAGCTAGCTTAGTAGTTTTCTAATATTCTTTTGTACAAGGCCTATAGGTGTTAATAGCATTCCCAGGTTCCGAGTCCCCACGCACTCCCATATGCCTCTGAGTGGATTCCCACCGCATTCAGACCTATTGTCTTGCCTGTGCTGTTACATAAGCTAAGTATAATTTTACTATACAATTTTTTTATTAAAAAGAATTATAACATCTAGATTTATAATACCTACATTTATTAAAGCTTATTAAAGCTTAAGTGCACTAATAACCTTTTAAAGTGTAATAGCTGCTATAAAGGTAGTAAAGACTACTATTAAGTAAGTTATTTTAAAGCTATTTATAGCTATTTAGGGGGTTTTTAAAGTGCTTCTTAGTTCTTTTTACTAATTTTTAGGTTATAGTGCTTAGAGGACTATTACTTAGTAATTATAACTATTATAAGCACTATCTTTAGCAGTTTTTTTTTAGCTTAAGACCTAAATTAACTTTAGTAAACAATCTAACAGCAAGCCTGCATTAGGAAAGGGAGGCACTCTATTTAGGCAATCTAGGCCTTGCTTACAGTTTTCGCGCTAACGTCTGAACCAGCAATTAACCTTGACGTCCACTATAAAAAGCTCTCTTTGCTGTTATTTTCCCTCTCTCCCCTCATCCTTTTCTCTCTACTCTCACCCCTCCGTCCGCACTCTCCTCGCCTACTCCAACTGCTCTCATTGGGTCTCGGCGCATCCTTTATGAGGCATTTTTCAAATCTACCGCCGCCGCCCATCACCGCTCTGCCTCCCCTCGACCCTGTTATTTCCCCCTATCCTGGCTGCGCCGTCCAGCTTCTCGTGCCCCGGCGATTGCAGCTGCTAGAGCTGATTCTGAGCTTGCATTCGCACGCGTTTGGCGGCCCACCCACTTTCCATTCTCGTGCTGTCGCGCACTCTCGCCTCTCGCCTTTCTCCATCGCAAGCTCTCCCTCTTCTCTCGCAGGATGTTCGCTCACCTCACGTTAGTAGCAGCTGCGGTTGAAGGGCGGACCTCGCTACCTGTGGCATAGCCATACCGGCATGTGCGGTCCTGTAACCCCCTCTCTCCCGGACTCGCTGATGGCATTTACTGCGCCCTTTCCTATTCCTGTTTCGAGCGGACGAATACGTAGCTCTCACGCCATTATCTCAGCTCTGATACGCCTATATTGCGCCCCGCTCCTCTGGTTGAATACGCTGGACCAATCCTTCAGGCGGCGATGTAGTCATTCACCTGCATGACACATTAATTTGGGCCGTCCTGGCGTCTACGTTAACGCTATGGTTCCAGCAGGATGCTCCGCCTCGCATGAGGCATACGACGTTGCTGTAACATGGCAATGCAACCGGCAGGGGTCTGATATCTGGAAGCTGGCAGCTGACAGCTCGGAGATGGCCTCGGGTGTGCTACGGGAGGCGAACGAAGCCCTGAAGTCCAATAACAAGACGGCACAGGGGCCCTCCGGCGAGAATTACGCATTCATGCGTTATCCAGCGCGGACCCGCCCTACGTAAGGAGGGTAGTTGACGATTGAAGAAGAAGCTGGTGATCGGTGGCTTCATTCGAGGTGACATGGATCCTTGGACAGCTAAAAGGCGCGCATGACCAGGTTGTAACGACCATTTACTAGCCAATCGTCAGATGAGCTAGGCCGACTCTTAATACGATGGGGCCACCTACGCCGCTTGGGAGGGCGATACGCGGCCGTTTCGGAGACGCTGATGCTGATCGGCTTCGAGTTTATGCGTCCCCTTTGTAGACAGCGCCCTTGCACCGCCTGCTGCTCCCCTTTCTTCAATGGATGCGGCATTTATGCAGGCCCTTCACGATCCTCATTCTCGGCGGCGGTATTGACTACGACATATAAAGTCGCACTTAGTCTAGAGAGGGAGCTACTTCTTTTAAACTCCTCACAGCCAGAGAAGCAGATTGCCACACTGAAATGGCCTCCTCTTGCAGCACCTCTTTACTAGCCCCTTCGTTTCCTCTGAAAATTGTTCCATACGTTTCTCTGGTGCCTAAGCCTAAGCCAAAATCTAAGGCTAAATTAATGGCTACACTTAAGACAGCAGAGCACAGCTGTTTAGGAGTCACCTCTAAAGATGGGGGAGACTAGCTCCATATTGACGATTTCCCAATGCCGGATTTGAATGCATTGGGCTCTCTTAACCTGAGAGTATCTGCTCTGTTTAGAGCAGCAGACGCTTCTGGTTCGCTAGATTATAGTAATACCCACCCATTGATAGCTACAGGCTAATAGAACCTAACACAAGGGTGTAGACGTAGTAAGTGGCCTCGGTGCCGCCTCCGAACTACGATTCAAGTGTTGCGAAGACAAACTCGGCTCTGAACGGGTTGTTTGATAGAAGCAGTCTAGGTAAGCGTATAAGTAGATTGCAGTGCTAACTTACTAATTCTCAATAGAATTTCCTTTAATTTTGGAGAGCGATGCAGCCGAAGAGCACCACAGCACAACGCAAGTCAAGCCTAGCAATAAAGTATTAGACTATTAAGAGAACGGCTACTACGCAGCTGTTAGGACTAAAGGATTCTATGCTAGGCAGCATAACAATCTTAACAAAGCTGGCATGCGTGCCCTCTCTGTAGAGGGTATAGATAGTATTTGCCATAGTAAGTATTGTTCCAGCACTAGTTAAGGAGCCTATTCTAACGTCTTTAAAAGAACTATCGCCAGCAGAAGACAAACTACTCTTTAATGTCGAGGTAATAAGCAGATTGCCATCAACACGCAAACAAACGCGCCGTTCATCTGGTGACACGATGATCTCCTTAACAGAAGTGCCAGACATTACGTCAGAACCAGAGCTGGAAGACCCTTGTTTACTAAAGCAGAGAAGGCCGTCTGTACGACAAGCAGAGAGCCTCATACTTGATCATGTGCCTACACCCAAGCCAACCCCTCTGCCGACCCCTAGCAGCCTAGATTCCCGTTCTAGAGCCGGCAGTGAGCCTAGTCCTGACCCTCTTGACAGTGACAGCAAAAGTAGTAGAGCTAGAAGTCCAGTCCCGCCCCTAAACAACCTTGGTGAAGAGAATGGCGACGATGGCGCACATTCTCGGGGAAGAGTCGAGGAGCTGCTCCATTCCCCGAGACAATCCATCTCTCCTCGCGAAGGCATAGAAGCCGAACAAAATATGGATCCAGATTCAGAAAGGTATAAGAAGAGAAGGGAAGGCAGTGATGGTAAAGTTGGGGAGAGCCGCGAGGACGGAGTCGGTCAGGTCGATGAGGCGTCCCGCAGCCCTTCAGAGAAGAGCCCTCGACGACGTAAACGCAGCGATCGTCCGGCCCGGGAGAGGAGGCGCGGTCCATCACGAACTGCTCCTAGGTCACGGGGCTCGAGCACAATGCCAACGAGGGCATCGCGACAAGTCATGTCATCCGAGCCACGCCAACTGTCTCGGCCCAAGATGGATAGCGCGACTGGGTCTTGCTCCCCGCGAACATCCTCTTCGAAAACGAAGGCTGGAGATTGAACCAACATCAATTATGGACCCAGCGCCAGCATGTCTTATCAGATAACCGATCTCACGCTCTGCCCTGTGCCAAAGGGCTCGTCGATTGTGACAGCAATTGTCCATTGCAACGAGTCGATATTGTTTCTCAACCCGACAGCCCTGGATCACAAGCTCTTCGGTGAAGACGGCAAAGTCATCCGCATGGCCCAGCTATCGCCGGATTCGTGGATACTAGTGGGTCACTGATATGACGGTGGTGCGCTAGGCCCGTGTGTTTGTGGAAGCTTGACACTGCCTAACCCAGACCGGACGAGCAGTCCCTACAGTGACACTGATTACCCAGAAGACGATGTGGACGAAGGGGACGAGAATGAAGAGGAAGATACCGGCGAATGCAAACCTCATGCTGCTGGCAGTAATCAGGGATTCCGTACAAACGGTATGCGCTCCCGTTAACGAACACATAAGCCGTGGAAAGCGTCGGACGAAGAACGCTTACTCTCGTATAAGGATAAGATGTCTATGGACTGGGATCAGGTAGTTTCTCGCTTCCCAGACCGGTCGGAAGGTGCTGTAAAACTGCGCTACTACGCATTGCGCAAGAAGAATTCGTAGAGTTGTTGAGTCAGCCTCAGGCGGGTCAGCCTTGTTACCTTGCGAACTCTCGGAAAGAGTCCCACATTGATGTGACTTTGCCTAGTTTAGCTTCCGTGGGTCCCATTCTGGCTCCCGCTGTGAAGCCCGTTTCCCGTGCCAGCTTCGGCTCTCGCTCCTCTTCCGAGACCCCGTTTTGACCCCGCCCGAGTTGTCGTTCAGGGAGTAACGTTATACCCAAAAAATCCACCATGCCAGCTATTTAGAAAACAGAAGTGGTCCTTCTAAAATGTAAAGATTTAAGAAGAACGTTTCAAGGTCAGTGTCACGACTACAGTCAGCTCTCGTTATAACAATGTGGCGTTTCCAGGATTTTATATCGTTATATCGGATTATCGTTATAACGAGAGATATTTTGGTGAGAAAACAAGAATCGGTGCACAGGAAACCCCATCGCAGAGACCGCTTTGTGGCGTTCTTGGCATCGTTATAACGAGAGTTGACTGATAGTGGGTGATTCTGAGCGTTAGCGTGGGAAGGATGTTGTTGCCTACGCCAAGACTTCCGGAGCAGCTCAACCACCAACCAAGGGATGGAGCGCGCTGTATGAATCTAGGAAGAACGTGTGGAGGGCCAACAGCTATTGGGTGCCTTGAGGAACAAAAGTTCTTTGTGCCTCATCAAACTTTTTTAGATTCTGACCAATCAATATCCTCACTCTTTCTTTGTTTCACGTGATTTTTTGGTCATTGTTATCCTCTTTAAAGACCACGCGCTAACCTTCTTTCTACTAAGGGTTTTAGATAGAACACCCTCTCTTCCTCTTTTATCTCTTCTAGTTTAGTAAAAGCCTTTCTCTAAGGTCTCTGTAGCAGATCCTTTTGTTCTTGCCTTATGTCCATTCTTTACCTTTTAGTCAGCAGCACTAACACTAAGGTTCCCCTTTTTCTAAGCTCTAACAATCTTGACTTGTTGAATCTGCTAATATCCTAATTGGTGATATTTGCCACTCCTTAAACCCTATCTACATCCAGATGGAGCTCTCTAACTAACATTACTAATGGTTGCCTTACTCTACTCCTTCAAAACTAACCAGTGCGATGGCTTCGGATCTCCATACTTGTACCACGCATACCTCCTCTTCATATCTTCATCATCTACCTCTTCCAACCAATCTTCATTCGCACTCGCAACTTCATCGCACATCTTTGGCGTCAAGCATCCAACAACAAAATGCGTCAAGTTCTCGTGATCAAACCCCATACGCCTTAACATCGTCCTCACATCCCCCCTCGCAACAACTCCATCGCGCATCCAATTAGGTGGGCCATCCGGGAACAAGACAAAGCGCCGGATCCTGGATATGTACATCTCTGACGTGCTAGCAGGGAGATCATACGTACCCCGCCGGCCGCGAGCAGCGTCTCCCCACGACGGAAAAACCAACAGCGGAGCGACGCTGAACCACGTGTTTTCACCATACAACACGGCAGCGGCTTCGTCGTGGATCTGGCGGTTACTTTGCAGGATGGCGGGGTAGGCTCGCGTAGAATTTTCAAACCAGAAGGCGCTGCGGAAAAACATGATGAGGGGGTATGTGCAGAGGAGGAGCTCGCGGTAGATCATGTTGCGGATCTCGCTGGGGAGACGGAGGAAGGGAAACGTGTCGGTGGGTTGGGTGAGGTTGGGGCTATTGGCATCGGGCCTGGATGGTCGCGATTTGGATAACCAGCGGCGCACTTTGAAAACAATCTTTAAAGCGGAAGTGGCATCCATCGTGTAAATCGTAGTGAGAGCGTTTGAATGCCTGTGGATTGGAAGTGGAAAGATTGTCTTTGTGACTGCTTGGTGGCGCGATGTTTTTGGCGCTGAGGACGCTAGGCGCTCCGGCCGGTGATGCACGAGAAGGTCAGCAAGAGCTGGTGTTCGTTATTGAAGATGTGAACGGCTTTTCAGTGTCGGTTCGTGTATTGGAGCTCTGTTGCAGGTGCTAGGTACGAGGTATATGCTACGGTTAGCTTACCTTGGCACCCCGCAAACCACCCAATCTGGCTAGCGTAGGATTCACATTCATCCCCTAATCGCACGCGCGACTTGTACGATGCTTAGATACATCACCGTAGCATCACGAAATTCACCTTCTAAACGCATAACGATGTTGTTCCAATGTTTGGCGCATCCTAGGCCGTTTCTCTCAATTTTCCAACAAATCCCGCAAAAGCATAAGGTTTCTTCATAGTTTGCCAGAGGCCAGTCTACCGATGCGTCGACGGTAGGTATATAATACCTATAAGCCCCCGGCCAAGGGCATCATTAATATTGAATCCGGTCGGGTATCTAATGTTGGCTATCTTTGGTTGGATTACTCTTTGCTTAAAATTGTGTGGTGGATGGATAAGGGCTCAGTGCTGATGGTAGCTTTTGAGCGCGGTAGTGAGGTTTGCAAGCTTAGATGGGTCCCTTCTAAGGGTTTTAAACAATGGCAAGAGCTTGATGGCGGCGCCGTCGTGAAGGGAGTCTGTTTCACGATCAAAGGAGGCTCTCTGTAGATCAGGCGCGGAGACAACGATGCGATGGTAATTTTCAGGTGCGAAGGTGCCTACATATTCAATATTGCCTAGGGCACGCAACCCAGGCAGAATTAATGCATGCATCGTGGCGCGCGTAGAGTTTTACACTATATATTTACTCTAATTACTATCTTTCTAAGATTGTTTCCCCTGCTCTCTTATATATATACAGCAGAAAGAGGTAAACTACAATAGTTTTTGTCTAAGTAGAGTTTTATCTACTAGATTATTTCTTTGTCTGTTCTAAAAGATCTCTTATTATAGTTTATATACAGGTAACATTAGGTAAAAAAGAGTTTAAAGTCTTTTACTATTTTATTAAAGAACTTAAAAGAGGCTATTGTAAGGACAGGGCTCCGTGTTACGATCTACGGTTGGACCAGCGTAACTCCACCCAGGATGCTCCACAATATGGTACGGTTGGAGCAGGACTCGCTTACAGACCAAGCGGAGGACGCGGAGGTAGCGCGGCTACCCGAGATCATAGAAGAATGCGTTGTCTAATAAGAGGACAGGACGTAAATCCTACAAGTCTAGAGGAGCTTAGCAAGCCCTGCTTAGTAAGCTTATATAAGCTTATCTAGCTTACCTTAGTGTCCCTTACACATGTATATAGTTTTTATAGTAAACAACTTTTAAAAGGTGTGTTTAATGTTTAGTTTATTCTTTACATAAACTAAGTAGCATTTAGCTTTTTAAAAAGCTATAATACTATTTATATATTTTACACTATATATACCTCTAACTTTGTCTAATAGAACTATTTAACCCTAGCCTCTTTACTGCTGCACATAAGGCAAACTATAATCTAGTCACTCTCCCTCTCTTTATTAGCCTAATAGCCTGTACATAGGACTGTACACTTTACTAGATTAGCCTTTTATTATCTATTCTACTTTTTACCTAGGAATATTATTAGACTTAAGTGCTTTATAAAGTAAAAATTATAATATTAAATACTACTTTTTTAAAAAGTATAGTAACTTTATAACATAACTTAGATTCTAACATAGCTTATGCTGCGCTATTAAGATCTATAAAAGCTCCTACCTAAAGTAAAGCTGTTCTAGCAGAATAAATTAACTCTATCTAGGACAATATTAAAAAACTCTAGTAAATTAGTAATAAAGTTAGTAACTTATTAAAACTTAAGTAAAAGATAGCTAACTTTTACTAAAAAACTATAAGCTTATAAAACTTTTAGCTTTTAGTTAACTTTTATAAAGTAACTACTTAAGCTTATTAAATATATAAACTATAAGTAAAACTAGCTAAAGTTTAGAATATTTTAACTAATAAAGTAAGTATTATAGCTAAAAAGGCTTTAAGACTAGCTTTTTTAAAGCTTTTTAGAAGTTTGCTAAAAGACCTTTAACTATTCTTTACTAAATGCTACCTTTATATATAATATAATAAAGAAGCATTTTAGACTAACATAGAAATAATCTTTTAGATAGGATTACACTTAAAAGGCTTCTTTATAATCTAGTTTTAACTCTATACTAATAACTAGATAGACTTTAAAGCTAATAGCGCCCTACTTAATTCTAAAATAAAGAAAGTATTTAGTAGTATTAAAAATTTTAAAGCAGCTTTATTAGCTATTTATAGGACCTTAGACAAAAAAAAAATTATAGCTAACTAACTAAATAATATAAGGCAGGGCAGTAGACTAGTCTAGAACTATGCAGCACGTTTTAGGGAACAAATAGCTATCTGCAGATAGAACAACTAGAAAGCTCTATGCTGCATGTTTTATAACAGACTAAATAAGAAAGTAAAAGATAAGTTTATATACATAAACTAACTAACTACTCTTAAAAACTACATTAAGAAAGTAATAACTTATAACAACTATTATAAAAAATGTAAAAAAGAAAAAAAATTAAAGAGAACCTTTTAAAAACTAGAATTTATCCCTAAAAAAAAAAAGCTTTTATAATATAATAAAAAACTAATAAACCTTAGTTATATAAAGCATATATAAAGCCCCCCCTTTAAAAAGAGCTAAGTTCTAGGACGCAATAGGCCACCTTTAATAAAGAAATAATAAAAATAGCTAGAGAATAAGGCCTACTTAAACTATAAAAAAGTAGAACACTTTTACTAAAACTGCCTAAACTTCTAAAAGAGGGAGAATAAAAATACTACTATAATAATAAAAGCTATTACTACTAAATATAGCCTTATAGATAAGAAAATATAAGAAAGACTAAAGGACAGACTTTACTAGTAATATAAAAAAAACTACTTTTTAAACAACTGCCTTAAAGCATATTAGAAGGTAGTTATTTAAAACTTTAGTAGCCTTAATATAGTGTTGTAGGACTTTATAATCTTTAAAAGATATAAAAAAAAAACTTAGATCTAAGAATATATTATAAATGTTTAGAAAGAAGAAAAATGTTTTCCTTTTTAAGACTAGACCTTTAGTACTTTAGTAAAAGAGCTTTCTTAATAGTTTTAGAGATGTAAGTGCTAGAAGTGTAGGTTACTATATAACTACCTAAGTAATTATATAGTCTTGCTTTACTAAATAAACATTAGCAATAACTACTTAATGTTTAACATTATATAAAAGATAGCTAAAGTTAAATATAATATTATAAATAAAAAAAAGTAATAGTAATTTTTTACTAAAATTAAGAATTAAAAGCTAGAATAGTTAGGTAAACCTGCTAAGTTTAAAGTACTATAACTAGCGCCTAAGAAACCTAAGACACTGCTCCTAAGCCTAGTAATCTCTAGAAAAGTTCTTATAGTATAATAAAATTATAGACAATGTGTCCTCTGCAGAAGCAGCAACTATAGCATAAGTAGGTGCTAATAGAAAGAGCACCTTGTACAGCTAGTATAAACAAAAGTATATTCTTAGTAGACCTAGAAAAGTCCCCTTAACATATTACATAGACCTAATAATTATCTATACCCCTAGTACTAGTGTACATAACAATACTGCGTTAAACACTAGGATAACAAACATTAAGCAGGATAGTAGCCTACATAGGAAAAGAACTACAACAGTTGCCTATAGCAAGAAACAGCCTTAGCCTATAAAACTATAAATTACTACACTTATTAAACAGCTTCCTCTTATAAGTAAAAACTATAGATAAAATATAATAAATAAAAAAATTATAAGTTCTACTACTTTTAGTAAAAAGTAGTAAGAAAAGAAGACTACCTAACTTTACATTATCTAGTTAAAGATTATAAATGTAAAGTAGCTAACTACTATAACTAAAAATATTAAATTTATAAAAAAAAGAAAAATAAATTTAATAATAACTTATAAGACATTAACTTTTATCCCTTTTTTAATAAAGAAGTTAAACATAACATATCTGCAGTAATTACAGTAGGGTAAGGGGCAGGACACAGCCTAACAACCACCTTTATGTATAAAGAATAGCCTAGATTAGCCCTTATAAATAGCAGATGCACTTTTACTACTATAAATAAAAATTAGGTAGATAAGTAAAGTATACTATTCTACATAAAAAAAAACTTATTTAAGGTAACTCTTACTAACATATTATTAATTAAGTATAGTAAAGGATAAATTAACCTAGAAACTTATAAAAAGAACTTTAAAACTTTTAATATAAAAGATTAAAAATCTATAAACATACTTAAACTAAAAAGTAAATATAATGTAATTTTAGGCTATAACTAGCTTAGAACTTATAATTCTGCAATTAATTAAAGAACTATAACTATAAAAACCCCTAACAACCACGCACGCATAACCTAGTTAGCATGCTATAATAACAGATGCCTAGTCTATAAACAAGCTAAGCAGGGTAGCAGTTATTACCTTAAAAAAAAGAAGCTTTAAAAATTCCTTTACTAAGAACTAAAAGCTTAAGTAATAAAAATAATAAAAAAAAAACTTAAAAAAGTCTCTTATAAAAAAATTAAAGCAGATAAAGACATAGAATAAATTAGTGTTATATAAGTCTAAGAAGAAAGTTAAATTCTGCCTAAATATAAAGACTATAAGGACATGTTTAAAACACTAAAAGACTCTAGAGAACTACTACTACACTAGCCTTAAGACTATGCTATTAACTTAATAAAAAATTACAACTTAAAGACACATAAGCTCTACCTTTTAACTAGGGCACAAAAGAAGGCCCTATAAGAGTACATTAATAGGATGTTAGCATAAGGCTACATCTAGAAAAGCTATAGCCCTATAGCATTAGCAGTAGTCTTTGTAAAGAAGAAAGAAGGAAAAATATAAGTCTATTAAGACTACAGGACCCTAAATAACAACACAATCTAAGATTAGTTTCCTCTACTAATTATATAAAACATTATAAACTAACTAAAAGGAACCTAGTACTTTATAAAGTTTAATATACAAGACAGATTTAATAAGAT